GATCAAGCTTATCAAATCCATCTTATAAATTAGCGTAGAATCAAAATTGTGTAACCTAAAGAAAAGGCAAAGTAACTGTGATCTATAATTACAATAATCAGAAAACTCACGTTTAAATACAAGCGTGGACAAGCTGTCACATACCGGTCATTTACCAGAATGCTAATGAATCTGTTTTTGCAATAAGTATTAACTTATGCGCGTGCAGAATTTTTTCTGAATCTATTAGTAACATCTGTTACTTGCAGTGTTGCATTTTAGTAAGCTTACTTTAGCTTCGAAAAGTTTCTTTGTTTAATTTTATATATAACACATTTTAGCATTGTATATCTAATAGGTGAAGATAATCCGTTCTTAACTGTCCAAGTGACGACGATGATGATGAGCTTACCTGCAAGCAAACAATCTATTCCTCGTTTATTTGTCTTATGACAACAAACATGAAGCAATGATGCCTTGACTATCATTATCTAGTTATTTATTCATTTGTTTAAGAGAAAAGAACAGGAGAGATGATCTGTCGACATCGTTATCACTAATGATAACAGTCACTGGTATGTGTTCCGCAACTAAATTCATCGTAACAAAACGAAGCAACACATATAAATCTTCACCTCCCTTCTTTTTTCTTCTTCATATCATTTTTCTTTTTTCACTTTTTTTGCTTCTTTATCAATTATATCTCTACACCTTTTATTAAAATCAATTTGGAAAGTTAATCGTGAGAGTGACAAATTTGCTTGATTCTTCTTCTTTTTTCTTTTATTTTTGCAGGATAAGTTCAAGAAGCGAACAATTATCAATTTATTACTAGGTGATAATCCGAAATGTTTGTTAAATTACAGCATCAATAAATAGTAAATTAATTAGGAGGTGGTAACTTTGTTCTGATCAAATCAAGAATTATTAACCACAAAATGTTGGGAATCACAAAATGTCTGCAACTCGGGAATACTGGAATTTAAAGTGAATATAACAATTCCGTATAGGTTATTATAGTTATTGTGCATTTCATCTATGCTCATGTCTAATATTTGTAAAATGTCTAATATTTGTAAAATACTCAATTATTCTTGTGGCATTTGACTGGTCATTTAGTGAGAGGGATGGGACATTCGATTTTCCTCTTATCACTGTATCGGGCCACTATCATGTTTCTGTGAACCAATCGAATAATGAAGAGATTGAGAAACAAACGGAAAATGTTAGATTATGCAAATTCATTTGAACTGAACAGTGAAAGATTGTTTGTAATTTAGATTTACAATGCTCAAGCTTCATATTTGTTGTCTTAAACTTGTAGCATATGTAAGGTTGTTGAATTCAAGGAGCTTTTTCATCTAGTACACTAATGGAAAATCTACTTTGAAAGGTCGAAAATTTGTCTTAATTTGACATTGAAATCATCTGAAAAGGTGATTTTGGTTGGACAAAGTTCAAACTTCACATTTCCTTCAAATCTAGATAACAATTGGCAAAATATTATTTAATATGAAAGGTAGCAAATATGATGAGAATAAAATGACGCATATGCTTGAATTAAAGGAAGACATTTGCATCTTTGCTTGTTTAAGATTTAATCTTATGTTAAGTAAGCAAAGATGCAGATTGTTTAAGAATATTTGTGTTTTAGCATATTGGCTATAGAATTGATGTAAGTGATATATAATGTTTAATTAAACCGATTTAAATTATTAATTGGCTATAAGTATTATAAACACTATTGATATAAATGAAGGGAATAAAATTTCCTGGTATTATAATTATGAATGAACAAACACAAATATTAATAAAGCGCAAATATTCTACCACTCATCGACGACAGATTGTAATTTCGAGTTATGAAAATATTCTTTTGTAAATACAATTAATGATACGTATGACTGATAAAAATATTTTGTCTGACATTTTGAATAAGGACCCTGTTCCTTCTTTTCCCTAATCCTGGGCACATATTCACTGTTTCAACCTCCACTTGTCCTGTTGAAACTATAGCAAGGCGTTCTTTGCTTCTTTTATGTGCGCTTGTGAAGTTTCACGCGCATTTGTGCGAGCAAAGCGCCATAACAGCTCTTTTCGTTAATCCGACAACTCGAAAATTTGGATCCTATTTTCTCACCGGCACAAGTAATATAGTAACGAATTAGCATCGTCAAGTACCTTTTGATATTTTTGTTATGAGATGCTAAAAAATTTGTTGAGGGTAATATTGAGTGGTACTCGAATGAAGTGGTCATTTGAGGACAACAGTTTGGGATTGGACAAAAAGCAACAGACTCGGAATTTGCGCCAACTTCAAAGATCCTCTCAAATTACTTAATTCAGAAACGATAGAAGCTATCATAAAGCTTTAAATGCCGAAAGATAACTCACAGAGCTATGATTGGATGGAATAGAAAAAAAAAAAAGGAAAAATAAACTGTCCTGCATACTTATTACGGTGAAACGTCGCGAACTTTAACAGTATACAAGAGATTGAAGACTGAAGATTCTGTGAAGTTATAAAACCAAATCTAAGAATAGGAGTTTGTAATAGCTTAAGCCTTTAAATAATCTACTAAAAAATATTGTATAACATAAATTGTTTCGAAATGTTAAATTGCGGAAGAAAAATTTGCTCGAAAGGTCAATTCTTCAGCTCTCGCATTATGTGACACCAATTATCTCTGTCTATTTCATTTCGTTTATTAATTCGAAAGTGATTTTCCATTCATGCTCAATAATACAACTAATAGACGTATATTACTAAATTTGATTATTAATAAATATTCATTATCTTAAGAAAATGTCACAAATAAAAATGTCAGCAAAGAAGTATACGGTGCTTGAGTATTAATACGAAATGTAAGCGATATCGTATCTAACAAACGGCAGGGGGCTCCAGATCACTTCAATTTAAAATGGTACCGCCAGCAGGAGCACTTCGTTTTCTGTACACGCTTGTTGGTAGTACTTGTCATTTTGGTATTGGAGGGGAAATTCAAGAAATTTATAGGAGAATATCACCAACCAGTCATCCAATACCAAACCCTTTTTCTTAAAATAATGAGGAGAAATTATTAAGTTACCCTTAATCTTTATCAAACTTTTTCTACCTATCAATGCTAATCATCAAATATTCGAGTAATGCGGTAGTTGGAAAAACAAAAATTGTTCAGATGATTCAAAATCAATTATTCATATAAGTAACTATGTGTGAAATGTTGCTTTATTCTAAACTGATAGAAAAACTTCCTGCATGTTTCAGGAAGTTTATTTGCATCAACAGGAAATGTTCTTTCTTTTAATTATTCAATTCCGGAAAATGAAGTTGGCCTAAATTAGTTTAACTTCAGTAGAGGATCATATTTACTGCAAACGTTTCTAGGAAGGAACCTCTGCTTCCTCTTTTTCCAGCCCTACTTTAAGTATCACATTACAAATTCCTATGGTGATAGGCTCCTTATTATACTGAATGTAATGAATCTTAAACTAAAAGCAGGCCAAAACTCACCGTGCTCTTTTCCAGTCTGACCAAATATCTTAATTGCTCGATCTCGCATTCACCATAATTTTTAAATCAAGAGAACTAATCGTCTTCAGAGTACTTTTCAGTTTTCCTGAAACTATACACAATCCGAAGCAAAAAGAAAATCGGTGAAGATCTCATCAAAGTTCATTGTTTAAGACAGTCGAAATATATCCCGGGAAGTTCCAGGAACTATCAAATCTATGAAGCTTTATAAGATTCGGAGAATTTGATCTCAAATTATTATAAACTAGACTTCATAAGTTGATTGTCCTCGTCAAAGTTAGGAATTCTATATTGGAACGAAATTTGGTCCATTTTAAATGCTGTAGGTAAAAAAGGTTGATTTTCTCAGTTCAGTTATTTTTAAAAATTCACCATCAACATAAGATAGTCAAAATTTAAGACAGCTTCATTCCCGGGATATATTTCGACTGTTTTATTCACCATCATCAACATATTAGTGTTTATCACTGCTTCGCTGGTCAATAACCACCCCTTCGGTAAGCGTCGAAGAGTTGATCATTGACCGGTGAAGTACTCTATCAGTATTAGTTAAATTTTTTTACCCTGCTACTGTCCATTTTGCGTTATGGCCACTGCTTGAAGAAATGTCATCGAAATGCATCGGTAATAGAGATCAACCGCAGCCATCACCACATCACATCACGTCACATAACATCATACCAATTGCTGGTCACTCGATAAAACTGTTGAGGTTAATTGTTGACGCCGGATGGTCCATTATGTTTGGTATTAAACATGCAAATTTCCTGTAATGATATCATTTTCTATAAGGCCAATCCCTAATTGACGAAGATCAGTTATTTTTGATTGGTCGCAGATACTAAGATGACATGTCAAACACTTTTGATGAGATAGACATGCTTTGCTTTCCTTTTCAGGTTTTTTTTGGATAATCCGTTTTCCTATCACCAAGAAGTTGGAAAACAGACAAGTCATCAGAGCTGACTAACTTTCTCAAAGAGGAGAGAGAGGAAAGGGAGGAAAGATAAGAACATATTTAATCTGGTGAAGTCTTCATTTTATTTGGATATTGGTATAACTGGAAAATCTATTAAAAAATCTATCTTAAACAGGTGGTCAGTTGTAGAGAAAATTCGTCGGTTTTCTCGAAAATATGCACCGAGAGGTATTAACTTTAGAAATATTGCAGGAATAAAGTTATCTACTCCACAAATTTCGGAACGCTAATTCAGCTAGGTAAGGATGATATCCTGTGTTCGAATCATTCTCAAGAGAAGAGGGTGATAATTAATGATCGAAGTGAAAAAAGGAGTTTGCCAGATACATTGTCCATCATAGTTGCTATAAAGGATTCCATGACATCGAACGCTAACACTATTGATATCAACTTGCTAGTAAATATAGAGAGAGCAGTTGAAAGATATCTAAGTTTATTAGTTATCCTGATATTAAATTTTGATAACTCCGGTATTAAAAGAGAAACCTAAAATTGGCGTTAGATAAGTGCTCAGGCAGGAACAAATGATGCATTCTTAATCCAAATCTAGAGTGATGTATTGTAAAAGATGGTCTGATCATAATTTTTTCCACTTATTTCTTACCTAACAATAGCATTAACCACAGGTAAGTGAGCAATAGCAATAAATGGAATAATCGATTCTCTTAGACCTTGCTGGTTCAATTTTGGTCATATTTTGTAATGTTTCAAAATTGCATGTCAAAATATTTGCTATACCATAAAGTTTCATTCATTTCCATTTCATCTTTTGGCTCCATCGTTTTTTTTCTGACTCATTTATAATAGTTTTTAATGTAATCACTGAACTTGTAAGATTTCGAAACTTTTCAAATCCTGAATAAGACCGGAGAGATAACTGCAATAGTCGTTGCTAGAAGCAGTTATCCTGATAGTAGCAATATGGACTAATTTAAGTTTTTCTTTTCCTACTTTTTTCTGATTTCAATATTACGAAATAAATTTAAAACAAATTCACTATTATGGATATTTACAACTTTGTGACAAAAACTTTCACTCAACAAAGTAGAAATAATTATCAGTTAGCGATGGCTATTCTCTTATATTTGCCAAAATTACACAATTCCTTGAATTTTCGCCTCCCTACCCCCTAATTGTCCATTAAATAGGGATGGATGCTGATCTCTCGTGTAGTCCTCAATTAACTTCTGTTTATGATATTCTAATTACTCTCTGTTTGTTCAATCCTTGGTAGTTAATGCCTCACTCCATGTCAATCACCACTGAATAACTTGGAACCCAAAAATTTACAACAAACAGTGTTAATAGTAAGAGTAATTTCATTCAGCAAACTTATTTTGTAATTGTTTTCAACCTGTTGAAGTCAGATTTTATAGTAATAGCATCTTTACATTTAAAATAGCATGTAAATTGTGGCTTAGTCTCTTTGCTAGCGAATTAAATATATTTGACAGAATAAAGGTCGAGAGGGTCATATTTAAACGACATCGTTAGACTCTTTTATGAACTTATCGGATGAACTCAATTGTCCAATACACCATCAATTTTAAATCCAAGGAATTGTCATTTGTACATTGCATTGGGTTTTAGTACACTTATATGAAATACTCTGCAAAGAACTGTACACTTAGTTAAAATGGTCAAATTACTGGTCAATTTATATCAGCTATAAAATAATGTTTGCGCTGGTTGTTGAATTGTAAATCAACCAAATGACCATCGAATGAGTGACCAGTTTATTGCTCACTCTTTCAAATGGCTCTTCAATAATGACTTTGCAGCAACAATAATAATAGTTGGTGTGTACTGTAATTTATGGAATTTAAATAATCTTAATTTTCGCTGCTTCAGCAGAAATAGTTTTTGGCAGTAATTAAAGGCGATTTTGTCTACGGTCGTTAAAATTTAGAATTTAAAACTTGAATGAAATCACATCATTCCGTGCATCTTGATTATTCCTTCACTGCATATTGTCTGTTTTACTCTCTCCTCGGTTATTATCTTACTAAATTAACTGATAATAAATTCTTAAATCCTATCTAAAGTTTAATGATCAGTTGTTGAGTCTTATCTTCCGAGAACATTATTGAATTTGTTGTTCTCAGAAATATTTTCAAAAGAAAAAAATGAAATTATTCGGATTATTTGTTTGTCCTACATTAAATTGTATAGTCTTGAATTGCCAAATAGTGTAAATAGGATCATTCGTATCCCATCATAACACCAAATATAATACCGCTCGATTGGTATTTGAGTAGTATTTACTCCTGGAAATTACTGATACTATAAACTAAGATCTAATAGATTTAGTGGCATTAAAAGAATGAAAGTGCTAAGAGGTCATTATTAGTCATTGGTATTATCCATTCTCAGCTTCTGTAATTATGAAATGAAAATTGCTCTCCGTAACAATTTGACATTCATTCATAAATATTAATTTAAACTAATCCAAGAATCATTCCAATGATTACTTCCGTTTTTCCTTTCTTTCCGTAAAATCTAAAACAGATAACAACAATAGTAGCATTTTGAATTAAAAGGTCAATTTCCATGGTGATGAAATCTGATGATGCTAACGCTTTTTCATTTCCGATTTGCATTATTTGATGGCAGAATAATGAACAATGTCATCTATCTTTCTCAATAATTCGCAATTTTAATTACAACTTTCCTACTCTAATTAGTAATTAATAAAAATGCGAAATTGTCTCAAAATTTTTTTCTATAATGATAGATATACCTACTTTTACTTTTGAATAGCGATTATTTCTAGGATGATATATATACTCCTAGTAATGAGTATGAAGCCAGGAAAGGAGAGAGGAAGAAATAAAGAGCCAAGATAGAGAGAGGAGAAAGGAAAAGAGAAACTTCTTGTATTAACAACTCTTTTTTGCACCTTTTTAAGTGATGTTTTATTATTTTCACAACTAAATTAGTCTAATCAACTCCCTTTAAGCTTTTCTATTTCAATAAGACAACAACTACAGCAATGATACGGTATTGCTGTGCCGTCGGCTATTGGACGCTGTAAGTAACTGATGATTGTGACGCTCCGCCTTCGAAATCACTTGATGGTTGTACTGATTTGGATAAGTTGCTGCTTGATTTCCTGATTTCCTTTTTTCTTCATTGTACCAATAGGAATAGATCCTTATCATTACTTATTCTTTGCTCTTACCCACTACCTTTACCCTTTATTTACCCTTACCCTTTCTTTCTCATTTTTCTTGGGCAATTATTTTTAACTTTTGGCATCAGTAATTTATCCCATGTGTGTAATTATTTAACTTATTTGGTTAATTTCAGTAAATACATCTCTTAATATATCGCACAAATCAATAAATCTTTTGAAGATTCCCGCCTTTTTTATCATTATAATGATATTTATAATAATTTGAATGATATTTTTAGTAATTTAAGAATTGTTTTCTTCTCTCCAGAATAGTAATCTTTTGTTTTTTAATCTTTTTCTTTAAACTAATCTTTTTTCTTTTTTTCTTTTTCAACTACTGCAAGAAAACAAATCTGAATTTTAATTTTACAAAAGCTTTCATGTTATAAGTTT